GGGGCGGGGACACCGGGGGAGGGTGGGCAAGGGTAGCGGATGAGGTCACCGTGTGGGGCACGGGCATGGGCTGGCGAGAACACTGGAGGGGGGCGAGGACACGGGGGTGGGGGCTATTGGAAGGGGTGAGGACACGGGATTGGGTGGGGGCCGAGGACACTGGGTCGGGGCGAGGACACGGTTCGGGGGGCAGGGACATTGGAATGGGGCAAGTACACTGGAGGGTGACTAGGACACGGGGGGGGGCGAATAGGTGGGGGCGAGGACACTGGGGGGTAGAAGTGGAAGAAGGACGGGGAAACTGGGGCAGGACACCGAGGTGGGAAAAGCAGACATTGGGGTGTGGGACGAGGACACCAGGAGAGCGAGGACACTGAGGTGGGGAGTGCGGACTCTGGGGTGGAGGGCGAGGACACTGCACGAGGGAGGTGCGATCCCACCGCAGGCGAGGCGGGACAGGGACCCTGGGGCAGGGTGGCCGCTGCAGGCGCGCCCTGGGCCTGCCAGGCCTCCTCCATCCCCTCCCCTCCCCTCCCTCATCTGGCGCCCAGCCCCCTGCGGGTTGGTGCACCCGCGGGCTGGCCCTCCCGCACGCTCCCGTTGTCGGGGTCCTGCCTCCTGGAAGCCTTCGGGGCGACCCGACTGGGTTCGCTGGTCCGTCGGAGCACACCAACAGGCCTGTGCCAGGTGCTGGTGGAGCGGGAGGTGACTTGACCCCGCCCCGCTGCAGCTTAGAGGAGGGGGGAGTTACCTCACCCCTTGGAGTCTCAGATTCCCCCACACCTTAAATTGGGGAGCCGGGCGGGGCGATGGAAATATCTCAGAGGAGTGAGTAAAATGAGGAATTCTCAAGGCCTCGCGCCCGCCCAGACAGACCTAAGCAGGACAGGGAAGGGGAGTGACGCTAAGGACCACGGCGCTCCTGATCTAAACTCCCCACATATTAATCACTTTAGGGAGAGAAAAAAATTTTTAAATGAGACAAAAAAAGCAGCCCTCGCCCCCCCCTACATACACAAAGGAAATACCAGCCATCTTTACCGTTGGTTGTTCCTATATTTCACTTGGTGGTGCTTATCTCCTTCTGTTCCCACTTCCCCTTAAACCCCAACTTTTCCAAGACAGGGCAATTCAAATGTCCTGGGTTTAGTTCTCACATCTTGCTTAACATTAACCCAGATCCAGGCTGGCTTGCAGAACGACTGTGAAAATGGAATTTTGGCTGCAGTTTTCTAACCATAGAATGAAACTTTCCTATTTTATCATTTCAGGAGCAGACATTGTGCTCAAGAAAATGGAATGAACATGAGACTCAAATCCATGTCCATTTGTTTTTATTATCAAGAGAACAAGAAAGTGTTCTTGATTTTTAAAAAATATGCTTTCTTAACCATCCAGAAGTAGGGGACAGGGCCAAATACATTATTTGATATCATTTGGGTGTTCCAAGTCCACAGATGTGTCTAGTTTGGAAGCTATTGATACAAGTTTTCTCTTTAAGAAAAATAAATCTCATCTTGAAACTCTTTAAGCCTGGAAAAAAATAATTCAGAGGGAAAGAAATTTTTCTTGAATTAAGTTCAACTAAGTTTAATCATTTAAAGGAAAACATGTTTTACTTCTGCCTAAATGGAGCCTAGTCATGTGATTCATAGTTTAAATATATCCACAGCTCCCTGTGTTCACCTCCCAGGGCAACTGATGTTTTTCAAGCCTCTTTTGATTCTAGGCTGGTTTCCCTAGACTTGGCTGGTTAGGTCTACTTCAGTGGGGATAGTGCCAAAGCCTGTGCTCTTTCCACTCTTGAGAGTACATTTAAAATCAGTTACATTTATAGACCTGGCTTCTGTCAAATAGGCTAAAAATCCAGATTGGTTTTTATTACAACATCCCATAATAAGCAAACAACCTAAGCTTTTCCCACATGACTAATGCCTCTAAGATCATCTGTAGAGATAAACAAAAATCTTTGTCCCAGAGAGTTAGAAAAGTTCAAAGACTCTTGGAGAATGGCAGATGAGGTCTAATCCCTCATACCAGGGAAAGATCCTGACTTGACAGTGAAAGGTTTCCTTTACACAGTGATTGAGTAGCAGTTACTGGTGACGGTGGGTGGAAGATGAAGCCCAGTTTGAGAGCTTCCTGCTTAACTCTTGCAAGATGAAAACTTTTTCTTTTGAGTGCTGAGAATGGAACCCAGGGCCTCATTTATGCTAAGCAAGAGGTCTATCTTTACCTCTAAGTTATACATCCAGACTAGAAATTCCTTCCAATGAACAAATGAAACATTGGAAGAAAATTGCAGTTGATGATTACTTGCAGTAGGAGACATGTCCCTGAACGGGCCAACCTGGATGGAAGCGCGTTGCTTCCTTATCGCAGCCTGTAGACCAGGATTCCTTGTAATAGGTGGCCAAACCCACCACCTTTCAAAAGTGCTCTTCTTCCAGGACCCTCCGATCTACTCACCTTTCTCAGAACCTCTACCTGTGTTCCACCACTCATGACACCTCATAAGCCATGTCAGAGGAGAGATGTGTAGGGGCTGGTTATTATGAATATGCAGAAAGATAGTATATATGGGCTAGGGGTGTAGCTCAGTGGTATAGAACATATGCGAGGCCCCTGGTTCAGTCCCCCAACCTCAAAAAGAGCATTAGTGTTTACATTTGGCTGACAAAGAGACAGTATTTGAAACAAGAAAGCCATGCTTTTCCTTAAATGCTTAATTAATAAGTAAGTTGAGATAACCCCAGTGCTATTACTTAGTACTGATGCCGTTAAGCAACAGTATCCCACGTAATTTCTCTTGTCTTTCCATAGTGTCCAAGGTTTTGCATTTGGTTTCACCACTGGAAGGGGAAAAAAGGTAAGGGAGAGTGAACACTATTCATTAAAGGCAATTAATGAGTTGCAGAACTCCTTTGCAATATTTATTCAGAAATAAGATACCTTAAGTCCTCAGAGTTGGCAGGTCTAGAGTCTGGTTGATTTGGCCCACTTGTAAACTGTTCTTGTAAACAGTTCTGACCATACACAGTCAAAAAGGGTGACTCTACTCCTTTTAAATGAAAGGAATAAACTAGAACTTATGCACTTTCCATTACTCGACTAATTCATATTACTTAGACATCTTTAGGCTTCTGGTTCAAAACATCAGATCTGGTGCAGAGTTTACTTCCCTTGTTACTTGGGACCTGGGTGAAATTCAGACAAAAGTAAAAGGGGCTCATGCCTGTAATCCCAGCAGCTTGGGAGGCTGAGACAGAAGGATTGAGAGTTCAGAACCAGCTTTAGCAATTTAGCAAGGCCTTAAACGGCTCAGTGAGACTCGGCCTCTAAGTAAAATACAAAATGCAGATGGGGATGTTGCTCAGTGCTTAAGTGCCCCTGGGCTCAATATCCGATACCAATAAATAAATAAATAAATTATATATATATATATATATATATAAATGGGGTAGAGGAAGACATGTGAGGGGCAAAGGCAGTCATAATGAGCCATCTCACCACATTTCTGGACCATGAAGAAGTGAGAGTAGAGCATTGCTAAAGAACACATGCAGAGAAATTGCAGCTTACAGTATATGTCAGGAGGCAGAGAGGAAGTGGGGACAGAGGAAGGGGCCAGACAGGAAGGTCTTTACATGGAACAAGAATGTCCCTTCCCCCACCCACCCCATTCATGTTTACAGAAAAAGAGCCAGGGGCTGGGGATGTGGCTCAAGCGGTAGCCCGCTCCCCTGGCTTGCATGCGGCCCGGGGTTCGATCCTCAGCACCACATACAGAGATGTTGTGTCCACTAAAAACTAAAAAAAATATATTAAAAAATTCTCTCTCTCTCTCTCTCTCTCTCTCTCTCTCTCTCTTTAAAGAAAAAGAAAAGAAAAAGAGCCAGGTAGCCTGTGTGATTTGATTTTACTTTGTTGATGTACATATGACTGATTCATATTCATTTTCTCTCTCTCTCTCTCTCTCTCTCTCTCT